AACTGATTCTCCCCTACACCCTCCAGAAAGGAGCACAGCCTTGCTGACACTCTGATTTCAAGCTGGTGATATCTGTTAGGACTTCCAACCTACACAACCGCAAGATAATAGATTTGTGTTGTTTTAAGCCCCTAAATTTTGGGAATTTGTTACATCAGGAATAGAAAATGAAGACACCCTCCTATGCCATCCCCTTTGTCAGAGCTCCTGGCACCACCTTGGATCTGAAGCTGGAGTTGGAAGGTTCCTGATCCTAGGATGGAGAAAGTGAAGAGATTCTTGCATAACTTGGGCTCTTGAATTTCCCCATAGACACAGTAGTGGTAATTATGGGGCTCTGGTCTCTTCCCAATACCTCAAGGATGGCATGGCTTCCACGAGTGCTGGCTTGAAAGCCTACTGATCATTTATCATGTGGGTTTTTGTTCAATTGCTCACTGTAGCCTAGGGGCTTTAGTCTTGGGACTCTTAGGGAGCTTCAGGCTCTCAGGCACACCAAAAGGCAAATGGTGTAAGATTTGCCATTCATCCCCCATGCCACAGGCCTTGGGAGACTTCAGTGTTCCACCTTCTCCTGCCTCTGCTTATTTGGTGCTTTCCAAAGAGTGACAGTCAAAATTACCCATAAGAAGTAACTGAAAGACATGGGGCACCTGGGTGGCTCAGTCGGTTAAGCGTCTGATTCTTGATTTTGGCTCAGATCATGATTTCATGGTTAGTGAGTTCAAGCCCCGCATCGGGCTCTGTGCTGACAGTGTGGAGCCTGCTTAGGATTCTCTCTCTCTCTCCCTCTCTCTCTGCCCCTCCCCCGCTCTCTCTCCCTTTCTCTCTCAAAATAAATAAACTTAAAGAAGTAACCTAAGGGCAACGTGGTGACGGGGAGTAACGACCTGTAAATTCTGCTGAACCCAGTACTCAGCAGTCCTCACACTCCATTGTAATCAGTAGCTTCCTTCTCCAAGACCTGACTGAGGTTCACATCTAGACTGAGCTTGGTAAGTCCTCTTCTTGTCTTCAGATTCCTCACCCAGTTCTATAACTTCTCTCTTTTAATAGAAATATCCAATAATAGAGTTGAGTCCTTAAAGCCTTGTGAATGCTTCCTACTCTTTTCCACCAGGTTCTCTGACTCTCTCAGGGTTTATAGTTTTCATAGGCACTTGAGTGACTGTAAACCATATAAACCATGTAAACTATGGCCACCATAGTTCATATCTGGAGTTCTTATGCTGTCCCAATTATGTTTCTTAATTTCATGCTGTTCTCTAAGCTGCAAGTGAGGTTCTTTGGAGTAGAAACGTGTTATTTGGGGGAGGTTGATAGCTTTTAACAAGTTTATTCCACACTTTATCTTTTGGGGATGATTTGCTTTATGCATTGTCTTGCTATTCAAACTTCATCTCTTTAACTTTTGGAATTTCTCTGACCCCTCTTAGCTGTGGGGCTGTCACTCACTGAGGGAGCCAGGGGAGCAGGGACCCTTTCAGGACTTTGGAGTTTGCTGATACAATGCAATTGTTTCCAGAAAGTAGCTTACCAACTGTGACCTATTTCCTGCCCTTATACATGTGCCTAGGAATCCAGATGGTTTGATTAAATATAGCCTCTCCTGGTTCTAGAGGGAACACTTTTCAGCGTGGAATATAGAGAATGAGCCACATGATTCCCATTAACATTAATGGGGAGTACTAAGGCATTCTTCATATTCTGAGCTGCAAGTGCAGCCCTGATGCTTGCTAAAGGGACATTTCTTCCGTTTATAGAACATCTGGCTCCTGGTGGTGTGCAAGTCCATGAAAAATTTCTTGCCCGAAGAATATGCATTTCGAGGCAGCTGGACATAGGCCAGCACTTCTCAAACTTTAGTTGCCATTAGAACCATTTAGTGAGTTGCTAGAAAAGGAGGTTCTGGGGCCCTGTTTTGAGGAATTCCACTTTAGTGAATCAGGCAGGGCCCAGGATCCTTCATCTTCAGCACCCATAGATTGTGCACCATGGGTTAGAGTCTGGGAAAAGTCACTTCATGTCTCCTCACTTTTGATCGCTCATTTGCTTCCAAGACCGCTAATGTCAGCATGGTAAGTTTGTTTTCAGGATTGAATGTGATCAAATGTGTAAAACACCCAGCACAATTCAATGACTGTGTTTTCCTTCTCCCTCCCATCCCGCTGACCAAGAGACACGTGCTCAACAGTAAAGGCAAGCTGTCATTAACCATCTTCTTCATGCCGTCCTGCTGACTGGACACAATATACTCAGGAAAATATGTGGGAAGGGCCCCGATTGTCACAGAGGAGGGCATCACTGTACAAATGGCTCCCTATATGCCGGACACACACCTGAAAGTCACTGAAGCTGTTCTTCTATAACACAAGACAAAAAAACATCTAGTTTGTAGAGTTGTTATGAGAATTCAAAACATGGTTAGTGATATGCCTAGCATTCCCCACCACGTAATAGGTGCTTAGTAAATGGCAGCTTTTATCATTTTTTTTTCATCCATTCATTCATTTCACAAATAGTTGCTGAAAACCTTCTGCACATCAGGTACTCCCATGGCTGCTGGGATAGACAGTCAATGTAAATTTCACAGAGATTACAACTGAATGGGGGGAAGTAGGCAAGTACTGGGGGTTGAGTACTTAGTGTCTTTCTCTGGACTGGTAATTGTGGAAGCAAGTCCAGGACGTGAGGAGAAGAAAAACATAGCATGCAGAAAAGTGACATGACAGGAAAATGTTAATGAAAAAATTGGTCATCGTATGTGTTATGAGCTCGCTTACTAAGCAAATATTCTTAACTTCCTGGGATATCAGTCCATGTATTCTCCCAGTCTACATCCCTTTACTTCTGTTACTTTCAAATAAGGGTTACAGCTGAAGTTATCTGGAGACATAAGATATATCTAGGGGACCCCTAGGTCCTACAGGGGAAGGATCTAGGGTCTTGTTAATGTGTCAGCAAAGCCTTTGCTCTTTTGTTTTCCTGTTTTATATTCCAGTTAATGAAAGTGCTTCAACATTAGTGGTGGTAGAGTGGTGATAGAAGAGCCCTCTTTTCCTTTCTTTTTTTTTTTTTTTAACTCTATTTTCAACAACTTTGCACACCTTTTGCCCGACAACAGGTTTGCCCACCTGCAAACCTGATGAACTGGGATTCCCAAAGTTTGCTGATGCACAAAACAAACTACAAGCCAGAAAAAACCTCAGCCTTGGCCCTTTGGTTTCACAGCTTTTACTTCTAGAAGGCTTAACAAATAACCTAAATTGACGAGATATTTCATCCTTCATCGTACCAGTTCAAGCCATTTGCCGATGAGCTAGCCATGTCTTTTAAACAATCCAACTTAGAGTAGATGCAGAGTACTAATTTGATCCATAATCTACTTGTGGGATACAGCATGCATCATGATTCAGGAAATATGATCCACAGGCATCAGCTTGCAGCGTAACCAGTATCATTAGCCTGATGAGGTGAAAGTATGCGATGATCCAAGGAGAAGGATGTGGTATGAAATGTACAGGAATCTGTGAATAGTCTCTGGTATGGAACTGGTAAGTGGCCACGCTGACTTCTCCTAACTGTTCCCTTGGGAAATTTTGTCCTAGAAGATGGGAGAATGGAAAATGGCAGGCACCATTCTCCAGGCCTTCTAATTTTCTTGTGTCTGGGAGCGATGGGCAGACTTCTTTCTAATGGTTTCAGGGTAGTTTCTATTTTTCCCTCCTGGCTGTATAAGGTCCTTACCCCAAACCTAAAAATCTCATGTGGAAAGGAAATACAAAAGAACTCCTCATTATCAACTTATTGTGGACCCTTGGTTAGGAGTTTCAAGTTAGGATATGGCTGATGAGAAAAATCTGAACCTTACTTCGAGGGGGTTGGTTCTCAGCTAGTGATAGACATATTGGGTTCAGACTGGCAAGCTAAAGAGTAGGAAGCCTGGGAATATAGTTCTTCTGCAGTTTTGGAAAAAAAAAAAAAAAAGATATACCTACATATGGTGGCCCAGAAGAGAAATCCTTATAGCATTTTGTAAATGCCACATTTATTTCAAATTAAGTTGAAATATGCTATGTACTCTAAATTCTAGAAACTTTTTGAACTCAGTCTTCTAGGGAAATAAGAACCATAGGAATTCGAGGGTCTTTATCCTCTCCTTGTTGAAGTTAGTGTTAAGTTTGAATTGATGTAACAATGGCTCCCCTTGGGAAATTAATTTGGCCTGTTTACCTTAAATGGACTGAACTGAACAGACTGGAAGAATTGGCCTTGAAAAGTTTTTACAGTGGTTGTTTTAGCGTATGTTGAGATCTTTGGCTTTTAGTAAATTTTTGTTTTTCTTTTTGCCTAGGAATTCCCCCAGTAAATAATTCCATGCTATAGAAATGTCATGCTCTCGAATCTTGGTGCCAGTAATGTAGGAGGGGAGGCACGCTGTAAATAAAAATTAATCATTTTGCAACAACTAAGCAGCAGCCTGAGTGCCACATGGGGAATGAATTACTGCCTTTGGTCCCGAAGAACATCACATAAATCATTTAAAAATTGATTTAGTTGCTACAGAGTTGCAGGCTTTTGATAAGGACCTCCCTTCATCCTGTGTAATCTTCAGGTCATGAACCTGCAGGCAAAAGAGAGTTCTGCAAAACGAATGAATCTTTTCAACCAGCTTTATTACCTTCCCACCTCTCTCCAACTTTTTTGTTACCTTCCATTGACCTTGGATCTGAGAATTTTCTCCCTACATCTGTGGCAAAAAAATTAATTTTGTTCCAAGTCAAGGATAAGAGGAACAGGAAAGTCAAATTTCTCTTGACGAAGTCACATCCACTGGGCTTTTTATTACTAATAAGTGATAAGGATGTCTGTAAGGTGGTACAAGAAGCATTGGCTTTAGTTTCATAAGACCCGAGTTTGAATCCTGGATCCAAATAGTTTTAATCTTGGGCAAAGTAGGATAAGCCAGGTTTTGCTGCAATAACAGACAACTCCGAAAATCTCAGTGGCAAAAACAACGGGCATTTATTTCTTGCTCACGCTGCATTCCATCAGTATTAGCTGGGGGCTCTGCTCTGCACTGTCATCACTTCAGGACACAAGACGCTGGACGGTCCACCTCCTGAAACATCACTCTACATGGTGGTGCAGGGAAGGGAAGATGGCTTTTAGGGGCTTCCACCCAAAACCAACACCTGCTTCTCTCTTCATGTTTCATTAGCCTAAGCAAGTCACATGGCCATATCTAATTTCAATGGGAAAGTGAAGTGCAAGCCTCCCCTGTGCCCAGAGCAGTGAAAGTATTGATGTTCTATCCCTTTAAGCATCAGTTGTCTTATCTGCCAGTCATATATCCTGCGCTCCTCTCCTCTGAGTGTTGCAGTTAATGAAATGTAGTGATTAATGAATATTGTGATTCGTTGAAATATTCAGTCTCTGTTGAATAATAACGTATTCAGCTGCTCTTATGTGTCACTTACCATGCTAACAATGCACTATATCATTTTATATTGTATTCACGACAACCTTGTATATAATGCTATCTCCTCTCTACATATGAAACTGATGCTTAGAAATGTAAAATAAATTTCTCATGAATCAATCGGCAAGTGGTCTGGAGCCACGACTTCAATTATCTGTGCCAACTGACTCCCCACCCTGTTCCATAAGTTGTTCAAACTTTAGATCACTCACTGAAGGCAGGTTTACATTATAGAACCATTTTAGAGCTGTCGTGGCCATATCATGAGATCAATCATGAGATCAATTCAATATTTCAATATCTTACCTTTTTGAAAATTACCAGGGGACCATTTGCTAAGAACAGTGTTACCGCACTGACCCCTGGGTACCTCTCTTCCCACTTCATTCTGTGCTTCCCAGGTAGACCTCTTCCTACCCAACTTAGCTGGTGAGAGAGGTGTCAGGAGAGCTAAATATAATCAAAATTGTAGCAAGTCCCTGATGATATCCACATCACTTGTTTAGAGCAGTTTGGCTTAGAACAGCTGTTTTGAACTCCATGCCCACCAGTTCCAATCATATAGGCATTATTTGACTGAAAGCTCCATGAACAACCATGTGCCATGTTCATCAGGAATCAAGAACAGTTCCTGGCACAATATAGGGGCTCAGAAAATATTTCTTGACTTGTATAAATGACCGCTATTATATCTTATCATTAAAAAAGACAGCATTGGTGTTTCTGTTTTATGGCTTAAAAATGGGTTACAGACCAGTACACCAAAATGTACCAGGAAATATTAGAATTCCCTGTGAATCAGAGACCACGCTTTCCAGCTGATTTTCATTCCACTACTGGCTTTGGTCATCATCAAACTTCAAGAAAATCCATACCAACGTCACACTTGGAGAAGAAGAACCAATGGTTTAAAAGAGACTAAGTGTTTATTTATCCTTTGTTGCACTGTGCCAAGAACTGTGATCGGCATTGGCAATGTAGTAATGAACAGAGCAGGAACACGTTCCCTGTCTCCATGGAGCTTACAACTCAATTGTGGGGCAAGCACCAAATAGACACTACCCAAAGGAAGACAAATTGTAAACTTTGGTAAGATTAGGAAAGGAATGACCTTCTCTTCTCTACCCCCAAAGCTTCCCTTATATCTGCCTCGTCATCATCTGTTTGTCTTAGGAAGACGTGAGAAGAAAATCTTTGTACTTCCTTTTGGACTTCTTGAAAGACCCAGTGCAAAGACTGAATTGCACCACTACACAGTGCCCACGGCCACATTTTCCTCTTCAAGGAATTCATTCACCCTTCACACCTGCACCCAAACGAGGGCATAGTATCTTGACATCGCGAGTACATGGATTTTTCCACCACTGAAAGGCTGATGTAAAAGCCGCCTCATTTTCAAGGTCTGCCAGATCTCCCTTCTGAAACAAGCATTGCCTAAATCTCGAAGAGCAGGAAACCAAGTCACCCTGGTGACACCTTGGGACTAAAGTCACCCAAAACACCCTAAAATTTTCATCACGTTTTGTTTGAGCATTTCAACCCCATGGGAAATCCAGCAGGATACCAATAGAGCAGTTTCTAATGCATTCTCCTAGATTGGTGCCTCTGCTTAGTATGAAGGAGAAACCTTTTCAGCCAAGGGGAAAATAAACAATAAATAGAATCTGAAAGCAGCTGAGAAATGATTGCCTCTGCAAGAAATGATTGCACACAAGCTGTTAGTATGTGTGCACAGAATACCAATGGCTCGGGCTTCCCCTGTTCTTACCGAAGAGAGGCTCCGCGGGGACTTGTGGGTAATTGATCTCAACACATCCAGTGAGCACACCCCAGACTGGCCTTCCAGGTAGCGTGATAGAACCACCCTTTCTACTGCAGAAGATCTTCACAGCCCAGATTTCCCAAAGCACAGCAAGGGCCATTTTGATCTGGATCTGTTGCAGTCTTCATGTGTGCAGCATATTTAGACTGTAAAGAAAAATATATGGGAGTCCTTCCATTTCTATTGCTTCCTGTTTCTTCACCAAACTATATTTCCATCTGTGACTCCGTTGGGTAATTCCACCCCTTTCAGTTTCTAGATGGAAACAAGATAAGATGAAAAGTTCATGAAAAAACTTTGAACTCTGAAATGTTTGCCCTATATCCTAGGTCTGATTATGAGGGAGAAAAAATTGTATACCTCGCTTTGTTGCCTGAAAGGGTCCAGATATATAAAATGAGCCACTTTGTTTCAAAGACTGTGGTTACCTGTAGAAGATCTAAAACAAACAAAGAAATAAAACTTCATACACACATTCAACTTCTCGTGTCAGAAAGGAAAGATAATATATTTCAGCCATGTCACATGTTAGACTACGTCACAATTGGGTTTAAAGGAACTCAAAGTTATTATTTCAGCCTCTTCTTTACTGGAAGGGTGAATTCATATTACCTTTCCTCCAGTGACTGTGGGTATAACTCATATAAATTTCAATGTTCTTGAACGAGAGGGAAGACTTCTAAAAGCTCGTTTATTTTGGTCTTTACTGCTAATGCTTTTGTGTCTCATCAGCCTAGATCAATCAGGGTAGGTTGGAAGTCCACAGGACCAAAGGGTGTTAAAATCAATTTGGTAAAGTTGGTCAAAACTGTTCTTTATCTTCAAAGTGGATACCACAGACTTGCCTTCCACAGACTGTAGACCTCTGAGTTTTCCTTCTGTAGCTGAAGTGACTTTTCAGTGAGTTCTGCACATCCCTTACCTAGCCCTTCCTTATGGGTTTTCCCTTGAGAAACAGCTTCCAGAATTAGATGAACAGGTTGTGGGGGATAACTTACATTTGTCTATGAAGAGGAATGGGAAAGAGGAAAGAGAAAAAGGAGAGAGAGGAAGAAAAAAAAGAGAGAATAAAACCTTAGTTTTACTTTGCTGGGCTAAGGAAGTGAGTCACCATTGATGTGTAAACGTTAGGTTGCAACACATCAAAGTGTTCTGATAGAAGCTGTCAACACCCTAGTTTACATTTTTCCACGGAATTCACTATCACCTTTCTCGGATATGAGACATAGGGCATGTGGATTTTGGTAGGAAAGATGGTTGGAAAAGGTCCTAAGTGCCATCCACCAGGGCTTACTCTAGAGAGAGGGTCCCTGGGTAGCCAGCAGTCAGCATGGAGTTATTGAACGCCTTGTGAAAAGATTAAGAGAAGAAGATACATGGTCGGGGGGGAAATTAGAGCTCATTGAGTCTGTGTGCTAACCTGCATGATTTGCCATATTTCAAGTAAAATGACTCTTGGCTCTTTCTAAAAATCAAAACCCAAATAAAATGAAGAATTACTCTACTGATGAGACTTAATGACTAACCAAACTGTCACAAAAGAGCGTCATCAGAAGATAAAGTTCTCTTGTGTGTGTAAAGATTGAGAAAAAGATGAAGGAAGGAGTGAGAAGGAGCCCTTTCACCAGGATAGAAAGAAATGGCTATTCAAACGAGGCGATATATAGGGAGTAGGGGTTCTTACCCTTGAGTGGATCTTGATGTCGGGACAGGGTAGGAGGGGCTGTTGCAGACAGCAAAGACCCAAACTTTAGGCTTTTCAGGTGTTTGTAATGCAGAAGGCTGCCTCACCCCCATCCTTGGAAGCGTTCCAGTTCAGAACCTCAGCCAGAAGTATCATAGACAGGAATTCTCTCATTAGTTGAAAAGGTATTTTACGTGACCTCCAGGGTCCACTTCAACACTTAGCAACCCAGACATCTAAGTTAGAGACTGCCGGTGGACTCTCTACAAAATCGTAATATTAGCACCTTACGTCTGTCTCATTGGCCTGGCATCCCTGGAAGGAGGTCTCCCTGCAGTACTTCTCAGTGTATCCGAATTTATCTGTAGAACTGTGCCAACCTGTAAAGAAATTGAATTAGAAAAGTATTGTTTCCATTTTTTTTTCTTTCTGGTCCAGTTACAGCCATCGGGGACATTACCTGGAAATTCGATTTTTATATTGAAAAATCAAAGCCCTTAAAGTATACTTCATCCAAGTCCAGAATCCCAAATGGGGTCTTGGGTAGAAAGGGAGGAAGAGGTGATGGTAGGAGATTTGGTGCAAAAGACCGTATTTCAAATTTTGGGACCAGCATGACCCAAAGAATTGAAGAACGAAATGTAGATGGCAGTTGTTGTATTTCATTTTGACATCTGAAAGGCGAGTGGCTTCCCGTGCATTGAGAGGTGCTTTGCTCCTGCTCTTGGCACACCAGCTCTCCCCGACAGTGGCAGGAACCCACCCCAGCGACCCGCTCAACGAATGAGGGAACAAATTGCTGAGCGTCACATCTGACATTGGAGATGTCAGTCTGCAGGCAGTCCGGAAAGCCGGGGGTTGTAATTTGAACAAAATGTCACTGTTTAGAGATTTTTTTTTTTTAACGTACTTTTTCTGTGATGATAAATCACAGGCCTGTGCAGGGGATAATAACACAAAATGTTTGACAGCTTTTCTTACAATTGTTTGGCATTTTGTTTGCCTAATTATTGTCAGCATCACCCACACTGGTAAATTGTTGTTGAAGAGGACTCAGTGGTGACTGTCGGAGTGTTCATCTGTCATTCTGCTCCTGTCACTGGGGTTACAGTTTGGACGCCACCGATCTTTGCTATGTGAAAGGCTTAATTAACCTTGGAGTCCTGTGTCTGTGTGGAGATGTGGTTCCACCATCCAACCAGATAGGAAAACACAGCGGAGAAAGTTGATGGAGAATTTCTGAAAGGTCATATTTTTTTTAAAAAGGATAATTTGCTTCAGTTACGTTCTTTGCTATACTGAGGGAAGGGCAGAGAAATCACTTGCCTTATGGGTATGGATTGGGAAATTATCTATTTGTGTAATCACCCTGCTTTGCAAGGGAAGGGAATTAATTGCTTTAATTAACTCCGGTAAAAACTAGATTGTCGCAGGGGGAGTGTTGACATGATGTGCTTTGCCATGATCTGATATGCTCTTGCAAATAGTGGCTATCTCTGTAATCATTTTTTTTCTCTGGAACCTCATTGGATGATGCTCCTGCTGTAAACTAAGGCTGCCTATGAGAAGGGTCAAAAAAAAAAAAAAAAAAAAAGAAGGAAGGAAAGGTCATAGAAAGGGTGGTAAAGAGCTCATTTCCATAAGTGTCATTGATTTTTTTTTTTTTACAGGCGTTTCATTATCATTTCTCAGGTTTCCTCTGACTCTGGCCCATCTACTTCTCCCCCAGTAGCTGATGACGAGTGAGTGGGACATAGTGAGTCAAATGCCATCATCTGTTTAGGAACTGCATGAAGGGAGCTTGTTTAAAAGATATTCCCCTGTACTGTATCTAAAAAGGTTTTCTGAAATATATGGAAAAGTGTCGATGTGTTAGAAAGCCTCCATACCACACCGGGGTTCATTTCAAATGAGCTAAGATCTGCAAGCAATTTTCACCATGCCTTTAGCTAAAATGCAATTACAAAGATTGTAACTGACTATAAGATCTAGGCTGAGAACTATGAATATATGTATATATATGTTTACACATATACACACATATATATGAAATATATGTACACATATATACATATACACATACATAGATAATATATATTTTTCCTGATGGACATTGTCCAATATTGGGGCAGATAGAGCTGCAGAGATTGTGGGGCTGGGCTAGCGATGGGCTTACCTACTGTTCTTTTTTAAAAATTTTTTTTAATGTTTATTTATTTTTGAGAGAGAGAGAGAGAGAGAGAGAGAGAGAGCGTGCAAACGGGGAATGGGCAGAGAGAGGAAGACACAGAATCTGAAGCAGGCTCCAGGCTCCAAGCTGTCAGCACAGAGCCCAATGCAGGGCTCAAACTCACAACCCATGAGATCCTGACCTGAGCCGAACTTGGACGCTTAACCAACTGAGCCACCCAGGCACCCCAGGGCTCACCTGCTGTTTTAAATTGCAGCAGTATTTTCCCTCCACCCCATGTTGTTACCCCCAACTACAGAGGGAGAAACACCAGAGGTGGTGTGATAGGCTGTCCTCTCCCAGGTGGCTTGTTGGAAAAACAGATCCAGCATCCCAAGCCTGTGGATGCAGCAAGTGCCTTTGGCCTCACCCATACAGTAGGCCCGGATATGTTCTGGGGAAAGCCCAGCTCAGGACCGAGGAAAAGCTTTCTGGCTTCTCTACAGATTATTTGCTTTCCCCTGACTGCTTGGCTTAAGCACCAGGAAGTGTTGAGTGATGTCAAAAACAAAAACAAACAAAAGAAACTTACCAAGCTCATGTATAGAACAAAAATGTGCCCAAAAGGGAATGTATAACTTAATTAGAGGAAACATGAATACTAAATATATGCAATAAAAGACTATATAGATGGTAAAAACAGAATTATTTCCATTAAAGAGCATTTGAAAAGAGAACTTTCACATTCACTTTGACAATTTTGTCATATATAAATATATGCACATGTGTACGGCTGTATCATAACCATTATATATTCTCAAATTCACAAAAGTATACCTGGCCAATGAGCCTTGGTTTTAAAACATGTTAGAGTTAAACCTTTAGAATCTCGGGGGGCGCCTGGGTGGCACAGTCGGTTAAGCGTCCGACTTCAGCCAGGTCACGATCTCGCGGTCCGTGAGTTCGAGCCCCGCGTCGGGCTCTGGGCTCATGGCTCAGAGCCTGGAGCCTGTTTCCGATTCTGTGTCTCCCTTTCTCTCTGCCCCTCCCCCGTTCATGCTCTGTCTCTCTCTGTCCCAAAAATAAATAAACGTTGAAAAAAAAAATTAAAAAAAAAAACCTTTAGAATCTCAAGGAGCCACCCCCACAAAAGTAAATTTATATTCCATATCTCTCCAGTCTTCTTCCACAGAATTTGCAAAGTGTCCTTAAGACAGTGTTGACATGACATTCAGTTAGGAGTGGGAGGGACCAGTTTCACTGGATGTTCATTTTAGGAATCATATTAAAATACTGTGTATCTCATGGTTTTATAAGTTACTTACAAGGTCACAAGGTAGCTTTTCACAGAAATATGGTCATGTCACTGCCTCCTGGTGGTTATCCTTCTTGCGGCTTATGTTGGATTTCTGTGTTCCAGCACAGCCCCAGGAACAGCTCCTCGGGTCTCTCAGCCCCATTCTCCCAGTTTGCAAACAGGGATGACCTTACCATGGCCCTAACTTCAGTTCTGACACACACATGGACACAGGTGGGTGCCAGTGAGGGCACTAAATGGAATCATTGCCTCCATTTTTTTAGCAGAAGTCTCTTGGGCTCAGAGTAATCACATTTCCTCGCCTAACTGGTGGGAAGAGTATGGCACTCTATTTACTTTTCCACCACAATTCTTGCCTCAGAGATATATTTTGGGAGCACAGCAATATTCTACTCTTAATGTAACTTGTCAACCAAGGTAAAGAAGGCATCCCTAAACTATTTTCATTCTTCTCTTAATTCTGCACATATTTTCCATAGCAAAATTATAGAATGGTAAAGCCAGAAGCTCTCACTTTTTAAGTGAGAAAACCAAACTCCAGAGAGGTAAAGTGACAGACCTAAGATCCCACAATTGCAAATGGATGACCCTCAAGGACTCGGTTCCCTGACACTAACTCCAGAACACCGTCCCCTACTCTACCTTAGTGGAGATCTTCTCTACACAAAATTGGTTGGAAGAGTGTTTTACGTTGTCCCTTTGAATGTACGTGACAAGAGATAATCCAATAGCTGGGAGGCATCCTGAGCTTCTAGGACCTCCCAGAAGCTGAGGCTCTGGATCCCTGCCATGGGCTGTGTCTCCAGCTGGTTTTCTGCCCACTCACAGCCTGCGAATGTGCAGATGGTGAGGATATCATCATTTCCACCATGGAGGTGGGGGAGAGAAGAGACACTGTTTCGTTTTAGTTTATTTCTAATTCCTTGTTGTTTGTCATGTTAAAATTCTCTCACATTTGCAGATGTTAACCAACAACTAGGGGGAAAGAATTCTTGTTTCAAGTGCAGCCATAGAAATGGCATAAGAAAAAAAAGGATCTGTCATTTATTAAGGAGAGAGAAAGCAGAGGAGGAAGGAAATCTAGGAAGAAACAGAAGAATTTGGAAAGAGACAAGGTGGAAGGAATGGAAGAATCCATGACAGAGCTCAATCCCATACTGTTCTTATAATTAAATGGTGCCTTGCACCTCAGCCCAAATGTTCACTCTGATAGAATTGTCTTCTCATTAGCATATGCAAAATTACAATTGCACAGTATGAGCTCTCAGGTAGAGATGTCCGTATTACCATAATGAGCCTGTCAATCTTGTGAAAATGAACAGAAACCAATATGCCCACAAAAGTTTACAATCTCCCAAGAGTTTGGTAGATCTGACAAGTTAACCAGCTCTTCAGACCAGCTAGACCTCACTAGGATGGCATTACCTTGGAGTGGGTATCTTGTAGGTTAAGACGCCACTCTCTGCAGTGAAATTTGAAATAAAAAAACAAGTAGATTTTTAACCCAATTCTATAAAGAGAATGACATTTTTAAGAGTTGCAAACAGTAATTCTTTGCTGCATTGAACTTCATGTTGTCTGATGACCTTTCGGAAGAGGAAGAGGCTGTATCTGTGTGACGCAGCACTGTAACAGCCTGCAAAGAATGCATGTTTAACATCACTCGTTAAGAGCAACTTGATAGGCAGTGTTATGAATTCAACGTGCCAAGTCTGGGCACAGAGCATTGGCTGACTTCTTACAAAGTGGTGTTCTTTTTGACCCTTACAATGTAGGGAAATGACTTAAGACCCCAATCTCGTTTCTATTTTTAACCTATTGATGACTTAGCAATTGGAAAGAACTCTTTTTCTTGTAATGTGTAACTTACCAGTGCTAACATTTGCCTTCTGCTTAGGTGGAAGCTTCCCAATGAAGTTAGAGCTGGTTTGCAATCTTATTTTGTTCCCTTTCAAAACAAGCAACTTCTATGGTGACGGGTTTGAAGACACACATTAAAAGAAAGGCATTTTCTTTTTTAAAAAACTTGCAAACAAACTTGCAGATGTAGAAAGAACTGTTTCATTGTATCTTGGTTTTGGCAAACTTCATTGTGCTCGCCTCAAACTGCATGAAAGAATAAACCACAAAGTTCAACATCTGAAACCAGATTCACATTAATAAAGTATAAATTCTTATATGGACATATTCTAGAAAATTTGGAGACAGACCTTAATAGAAGGAAGAAAACAGTAACCTCTAGTTTTTGTATCCATCATTAATGATCACTGTTGGCTTATTTATCGTTTGCTGAAGAGCTTTACAGATGTATAATCATACTGCATATATGGTGGTGTAAAAACACAACATTTTTCTCACCGAAGCCTATAATGAGAGCATTTTTCTATACCATGTACTGTAAATATCTTGAGGAATGGGATCACTTGAAACGCCATTGCATTTATCTGTAATGCCTCGTATGTGTTGAAGCTAATGTGGAGGAAATAATGGCATCTGGATATGTGGTTGGATTGGATAAACTTCTAAGAGGAAAGAGATGTAAGTCAGATGAGACTTAACTCTGTATTTACTTGTTAAATGGTGACCTTCATCAGTCAGACAGACTCCGTTACTCACCCTCTCCCCCAACTTCCAGGCATTGCCCTGCCTGGGAAACACAGAGTAAACACAGGCTGAAAGCTTGAATTAAAAGATCTCCTATGAGACCACTTCCTCACACAGCTGATCAAAGAACAGAGGGTAAAGTAGTGAGGGAATCGTGAGACAATCCATAGGCCTTTCAAGCTTTGTTTCCAAGTGATTTACTAAGATGTCGTCCCTGGGCGGCTAAGTTCATCTCTCAGGGACGCAGATGCCCCTCTTTGGAAGAAAGATGCTTCTATTCTTGTTTTTCCTCTCTCCCTGTCTGCTCTTCTGAAAAGAAGCATGCCATACAACAATGAAGAGGTTTTCCACATTAGCCTTCTTGCCAAGACAGCCACTTCTCTTTGTTTAAGTCTGTTTACCCGGTCTCTTTGGCAACATGAAGTAGAAGTTGACATTTTTTTGTACCGCTGACTAGCAGGTTTGGTTTTTCCTTTGTCTGAAGCTTATCCACCTCACACACTGAGCTTTTGTAGTGAGTTTTTTAAATGCAGTCTAAAAAAAAGAAGAATGATTTTCGCACCCTAATATTTTAGTAGTATGCCGTTCAGACATCCCGTATTTTAGCGGGGTCTCTGAAGCAAAACCTTCAGTATGATTATTGAACAAAACATGTCTTCTTTATTACAACTTGCTAACATTGAACTCTGCTCTGTAATTTCAGGAGGTTCTGTAGATCCATACACACGCTGCTGCTTGATACCTTCATGGCAATGGCCTGTGGGGGCCAGAGGCTGAGAAGCCAAGAAAACTAAAAGGCCCGAGTGGGAATCAAACTCCTACCTCCCTTAGTTCTATGATCCCATTAGCGGAACTACTGAATATTCATAGGCACTTTTTTGCATGTTAACATACTTACGGTTTTTTTTCAGCTATATAGCACTGAAGTACTCTGGGAAAACATCCCACCTGTCCTTCTCCAAATCCCAAATTAAATATGGGCCATAGAGACTTGGTGAGGAGAAAGAAGGTTTCTTCAGTAGCAAATCACTGCAATGGTGACCCAAAAAATATTCCAGGGGTGCCTGGTGGCTTAGTCGATTAAGTGTCGGACTCTTGTTTTCGGCCCAGATCATGATCTTACGGTTCATGAGTTCAAGCCCCACATCAGTCTCTGCTTGAGCCTGAGAATGCTTGGCATTCTCTCTCTCTCCCTCTCTCTCTC